GTTTTAATAACGGATTTTCTAGAATTCAGCTACGCAGATTTCGAAAATAATTTCTTACAAATCGGGAAGAAAAAACTCTTACTTAGATCAAATTATTATTTAGTTTACCACAATGAACATTTTTTATTATTATGTTTGGGTTCTAGAACGATCGACAAGATTCTCACGTCACGATTGGTCTAGAGAAATCTATAGCCAGTGGTTGTCAACATTTTAAGCATAAACGAAATGTGACCCGATTTCAATGAAAATGATTCACTTATGTCAAAGTACATATGAGGTTTTGTGAAAAATCTGTACGTGATAGAAAAATGGATATCATTTTCGGATTCAGCTTACAGGAATTACTGTAGAACATGTAAACATTTCAAGACAATAAAACCATCGCAGGCCTGTGTTATCACAGATTTTTACCTTTCTTTTCTCAAGATGTAAAACATTAGTGGTTGTTGGAAGACCACCTACACAATGGTGTTGGATATATCAGTAAAAAAAAAAGAGTCATAACTACTTTTTAAATTTATATTTATAAATACAAAACGAATTGATATAACCAAATCGAACTATAACTAGTACGATCATAAAATGTTCTGTATACTACTTTGTCATCCCAATGTCATCATAGCAAATGCTTAAATAGCTAAATAAATAATCATAGCTATGATTCTAACTTAACTATCCATCGTCTTCAGTGTCAGCTACTGTTGACATTGCTGTTCGTGTTTGAGGAAAGTATTGGAGTTTGTAACATCTGCAAGACTGTAATTAAAATAAAAATAGTTATTTAATATTCAATATCGATTATTAAAATATACATATATTTAACAAATAAGGTTAGAAAAGTATTTATTCACAGAAGCTTTAAATAAAACTTGTTTCAAATGCTTTTCGTGGATAAAAAATATTATGCTAAGACTATCTTTCTAGGAGTATGTATGACATGACCGTCAAAAATTCTGAAATAGTTGAAACTGGACCAGTTCACGATAAAAACATCTTAATTATAAAAGTTTATAAAAGTTACAATTATCTTATAATCAGTTATCTAAGACTGCGCTCTTATCTTAATCTCAAACCGAATATTTGGGCTTCAGAATCATACAAAGTTTACACATTTCTTGTTTTTCTAGCATTAGATTTTGCATGGAATATTTTCAAACATCATACACGAATTCTATTCTTGTATACATTACCAAAATACTATTGTAATTTTGAATAATTAAACAAAAGAAAAACAAAAATCTTAGAAAGTTTGTCTTCATATATTTTGCAATTTTTTTCAAGGTGTCCTCTGAACGGTTAGCAAAACGTTAGTAGAAAATAAAAGTAAGGTTATCGCGCAGGTTTTTTTTTATGTAAATGATATTAAAATGAAAAGTGTGCTTACTTACATTAAGCTTCTAGTATCACGAAAATTCACAACACAGAGTATGAAGGGTAAAGTTATACTTGCTATCAGACTAAATAAAACCACGTATTACTCTCACATGTATTTTTTTTTAAAATAAACCCTTTACTTATTAGTGTTGTCTACTGTATGGAGGAATAACATCATCTAGCAACTAGCAAGCCAAATCAAGGGACTTATTATTTTGTGGAGAGCCTAATTTAAGCTTTTTTCTAACAGAAGGAGTCTTTTTAGGATGATCAAATTCGCCTGACGATCACCAAACAAAAATGCTAAAGAATCTCCACTTATTGCAAAGTGTTTGACAAAATTGCGGCTATTTGTTAACTAGCTTCATTTGAGGACTTAATGTATTTTTATCAGTCTTTATGATGTGAGTAGAATGTTATTCTTTAACCAAAAGAATGTTTAGAATATTGGTTCTTAGGTCAATTGGATAGATGAATGTGCAGTTTACTGTCCTTAAAAACTTTGGTAAAAATGAAGAAGGTAAATGGACGTGATCATGGAAAGTGTCTGGATTATATTCCTTCCAAAGTTTAGTAACATTTTAATATAATGTACTCATTTAATTAGTATTGATATTTTCAACCTAAATAGCACCTAAAGATGAACTATTAGTCAAAGGGTGGGTAAACAGTCAGCAGTAACCGCTACCAAAACAATATTGCTCGGCTTTGAACAGATTATCTTATAAGGCACCAATAGCTAAGATGTGGAGTGAGATCAAAAGCACGGAGGCGCAAACCTTGAATTCTACGATCCACAGCCCAGCACGCTAACCACTAAGCCATTCCAGCACGAATACATTTAATTATCAATAATGTTATAGGAGATAACGGATGTCGTTTTCGCTTGGTCTCAGCTATTGAAATAATATGATTTCGTATTCCTTCTAGGTTTGCTGTTACTTGTGGTCCGCCCCCAGTGGCACAGCGGTATATCTGCGGACTTACAACGCTACAATTCGGGTTTCGATACCCGTGGTGGGCAGAACTCAGATAGCCCATTGTGTAGCTTTGTGTTTAATTACAAACAACAACTTGTGGTCCTTAATTTAATTATATAAACCACTAATCTAAATAATTAATGTACGTAATTTAGCTTTACAATTTTTCGCTATTTTCAACTATAGTCTTTGGGGATAATATTTCAATTTCATAGCTATCCTAGTGTTTTAGATAAATACTGCGATTGTCATTGAAACAATTATAGTAAGGTTAGTTCTTTATCCAGTTCAGTAACCCTCTCACCAATTACCTAAATAACATAGGGCTTACCTTAGTCCAAAAAACACCTTAAAAATAACTAATATAGGTTTTACCGTAGTCTGTTAACTCCCTTACAAAATAACTATATACAATTATTAAAAATTATTCACTAAAATAAGTTTTGAAAAGAATGTCTCAAGAGTTTTGAGTTTTATACGGAGATGTTTGACAGTACAACTTTTATAATAAAAATATTTGTATCACTATTGGAAAGTTTTAGATTTTATTTGCCAACATTAAGGATAGTTTTTGTATTCTAGGTTATATTTTTTAATGAAACTGAATAATTTTTCACGTTACTTTTAAACAGGATAATGAATGTTGAGCATAGTTTTCAGTTAAGGTTATTTTGATAAGTTCAGCGAAATTAATGAACATAGTAAACTCATTTTTTAAAGTATACTGCTTGTCAGTGGTCAATATAAAAAAAAAAACAGTATTCTACGGTTCACTGAAGCACAGGTAAAACAACGAAGAAAAATATTTCTTACCTATAGTTTTAAGACTCTCACGGCGTGTTAAAATCTCTCGAGCTTCAACGTGCATAGTTCTTTTGTAATGCGAGATCTAACACTTCGAGTGCCGTTATGAAGCGATCTGACCACGGCTGATAATGGGCATTGCGTTTTCTTCTTCCGGTGCCACCACCTTGTCCTTGCCCTTGGTTACCTGCAGTTCCAGCATTAGCTTGAGTTGCAGTTGTAGCTGCAGCTGTAGCTGCTGTATTTGCATTCAAACTTTGCAATGAACTGATTAAAAACGAGGCTAGTGGAATAAGAAGCGATCCTATCCCTACAGCGAACGCTATGCTTAGTCCAACTAGAAAAAAGAGGGCAGTACTGAAGCCAGTACCAAACTGTCGAGCTGAAGGAGCTGACTCTGTACGCTCTGTCATATTTTTGTCATTTTCATCTCTTCGAGCAGGAACAAGATGAATTAGAAGTAAAAATATAATGCATGGAAGAAAATTGTGAAGTAACATATCTAAGGAAACACATTATTGAATATGTAATTAGTTATTATAGAATGTAACTATCAAAAGAAAAACAAACAAACATTAGCATTTCATGATCCAACTGTAGCGAATTAAGATAAGTAAAGGTTAATGACTTATTTTTTGATGAATGCTAAAACATGAAAATAGTGATAGATTAGAACTGAAACATCCTTCATATGATGAAGTGGTTTTTAAACTTGCTTTAGTAAGAACTTTTTGATATATGCAAAATTATCTTAAACCGGAATTTCTACAGTATTGTTGAGTAGCCCTGATCTCGTTATTTACAACACACTATGTATTTAAACCGGAATTTCTACAATATTGTTGAGTAGCCCTGATCTCGTTATTTACAACACACTATGTATTTAAACCGGAATTTCTACAATATTGTTGAGTAGCCCTGATCTCGTTATTTACAATACACTATATATTTAAGCTGAGTCTGAGGAAAAAAACAACATAATATTTACGACTGTTGGGAAAGGACACTTAACCACACATTTGATAAATCTCTTGGATTGATGTCATACATTTATAAACCAACGACGTTTGAAGTTTAATAGCAAAACTGTCATGTGATGTAGTACGTTCTATGGCTTATTACAATAAAAATAGCTATTAATAACAGAAAATAACAATAAGAGTTATGTGATGCTTTCTTAACATCTGTGTATTCGTGGAGAATCTCTTTAGAAATTAGTCTACATTATAGATTGTATATGATAGTGAGTACTGAAATTAGAAGCTATCTCACCTATTCCTGGAAATGTTGACTGCTTATTGAATGGAACTCTTCCCACACTAAAAAATATCGTCACTTGTCAGTTTATATAACTTGAAGCTGATGAGACTTCACCTTGATCGTATAACGTGCATGACTGTTCACGTTTTTTGCTGGGCTAATAGCAGACAAAACCACACCTTCAATGTTTAATTTTGAATAAAGTTGTCCAAGCTTCTGCGTAGACTGAAAAGAAAAGACACTCACGTGACGATTTTCTCCAACGCCCAGTCTTTCTTAAAAGCTATCGTACCAATGAATTAATTTTGCCATTAGGGTAGGTTCACTTTTTTAATTCTTTTGTTTTTCTGGTCATTAGGAAAAGGTCATGGTTTAAATGTTATTTAAACAGAAATAAAAAAAATAATTGTTGCGGTAATTTGACAGTGTGAATTAAAACAGTGAACAACAATGGAGTTCACGGCTTTGTGACAAATGTCAACTTAGTGACATAGAAATAAAGATGTGTTATAGCACGTGTAAAAAGATAACTAAACAAGGTGAAATAACCACGAGTCAGTGATAGAAATACACGCTGTATATACTTAAATAAAACTATCTATCGCTTTATCATGGCTGAGGGGACTAACAAACCACACCTGGTTCCGGTATAATTTCACTTCTCTTATACGTTACCTCTTTTAAAAGTGGATATTAGTTTTAACTTCTAATTGTGTTTATTTTTAATTGTATATTTTATCATCTGTCTTTTTTTGTAAGTTACAAAGAATAAGCTACACGGAATTTATCTGACCAGTTTGAAAATCTATTGCTTTGAATGATTGAAAGTTTTAACAAGAATAACATGATTATAAATAAATACAATTATTAACTAAGATATAACTGGAAGAAAATACGTTAAGCATCCTCTTTGATTTAGGTAGTTTTATGAATATTCAAAATTGTTAATGAACTGAGACTTAGTCTTAAGGTTGCGTAGTAAAATTGCTACCAATGTATTATTTCGAGCTTAATAGCAAATATCTTGTAGACAACAAAATCACAAACTTCTATTTAGTGTGTAATTTTAGTCTAGCCTACTAAGATCTAACCTACAGAGCGTCAGTTTATTTGACTTACGTGAGTTCAAACTTCAACAAAACATCATATAAAACCACTCTTTCCTTTTCTTTAACTATTCTACCTTCAAAGTTTCATTTTACACTTTGCCGTTTCTTCTTTCTGCGATTTTCTCGTAAGATAATACGTTAAAAAGTTAGGAATTGCTTCTACGAATTTAAAAAGTTTAGAGATTTCGATACTTCATTGGTTTCAATAAAGAACGTCCAAGTTTACGAGGTTAAAATATCATACATCTCCAACGAAGTCATTTGATACTATACTTATCAAATTAGATGAAAATGAATTTTCATTATTTATTCAATTGAATTAATGATAGTTATTTTGTTGTTACCCACACGTGTGTGTTTGATAACTTTCGTTCAAAACTATTAGATAAAAGCAAGCAAAGTATAGTAGAATAGTTAAATACTGTATAAAAAACCCAGTAATTAATACACATAAGTAGTATTGTGTGAGAACTATAGCTGTTATCGTTTTCTATATGCGTATCAGTCTCTAAGATAGATACAAGCTTCATCAAGTGCTACATCAAACATCTGTTATATTCTAGCACATTCGATAGTTTATGCTCATATTCACACCTTCATAGCTTACTATAAAAACCCTTAATGTTTTTGATAGGTGGGCATTCCGAAAACGCAGTACGTTTCCTAGGTTTTTATGAACATGATTTACCAATCTTTTTTATCCTTATATTTTTACATTTATCGCGAAAGAGGGTTTAACTTGATATTGTTTTCAGAGTATTTACTCATGATTTTCTTAACATTACCGTTGGATATATATATCTTACATTATGAAAAGTACAAGCTTAGAGCTATTGTATATCACAATACGAGTTATACAGCTCTAGTTCTCAGTTGATCATGGTTTGGGTGTTGTTATCTAACATGAGCTATTATAATAAACTTTGCAAGCTTTGCATGTGCAACTAAAGTTCTTAGTTGATCATGGTATGGGTTTTGTTATCAAACATGAGTTATTATATTGAACTTTGCAAGCTTTGCATGTGCAACTACAGTTGTTAGTTGATCATGGTATGGGTTTTGTTATCAAACATCAGTTATTACATTGCAAGTAGAAATTATACACGTACAACTGCAATTCTCAGTTGATTATGGTTTGGGTTTTGCTATCCAATGTAAGCTTTGATATTTCATATTACGTTTCCGATATAGTTAGTTTATATCTGTTGCTTAAAGAAATATTTTAAAGTTGTACACTTTGCGTCTTTTATAAATACTTTTGCTCACAAACTGTCTTCAGACTTGCGATGATATTTTGAACCTGTGGCTTTTCTGTTACATATACATATGATAAATCCATTTTATGCTACTTTTGTAGGTTCGTTTCCTTAGTGATATTATTTATGAATTTGTTTTTTCTTCTTCTTATTTTTACTTTAGCCTAAATGCTTGATTCCAACCCATTAGGAGGCGTTATTAATTTCTTCACTTGACACTGAAATAATTAGATTTTTATGACTATTTAAATACAGTAGCCATTTTATCATATGATTTTCCTATTCAAATATTTTTTTCCATATTTGGCTAACAGGTAACTGTCAAAATTCACGGTTAGTGCTAACAACAATTTATTTAGGTTTTCAAATCACTTGTGTCATATTAATTGTTTAGAGTACGTACGGTCTTGAGTTCTGAAAGTCAAACATGTGCGTGCTTTTTATAAATGAATAATCTTATCTTAATGTCTTGCTTTGTCCACATAAAATTACATTTGCGGATACTTCGGTGTAATCAAGTAAGTTGTGATGTTCTCAGGTTTAAGAAGATTACAAGAACGATTCGCTCCATCTAATTATTTCATTAGTACACAAAAAAATAACACGTGGTACTCTACATATCTTCGCATCTTGGTAAAAACTACGTCAAAATTACTCTTCCAAGAAATATGCATCCTGAAGATTAAAAATATCAAACATTTTATTCAATCAATGATTTATCATTTGTTATTTTAAACATTACAACTCAAATACTAAATTGTAGTTTTGATATTTTTAATTGTAAAATAGTATGAAAGTAATGGTTCTTCAGGCACCCCAGTGGCACAGCGGTATGTCTA